ATGTCAAATATGGAGGAGGAGATTGCGGCAGCAAAGGAGGTAGAGAACAACAGGTATGCAACGCTTCAGGTCCAACTAACTTTTCTTTTTGAATCAGGAAATATTCTTCCTCCATGTCCGGCCAGCAGTGATGGATCTGATCAGGAGGGTGATGAGAATGATAAGTCTGATAAGGAAAGTGAGGGTGATGGGAATGGTAAGTTTGATAAGGAGAGTGAGGGTGATGAGGAGTAGTTCTATCTATTTGACATTTTAGACTTCTATATTTTTGGAATTGTTTAATTTGATCGTATTTTAGTTTATTTTGAAGTTGGATGAAGTTTATTTTGAAATAGTTTAATGTATATGTTGAAATTATTGTATTGTTTTGGTTGGATGAAGTTTATTTGGCTTTGGGTTGTTTTGGTATAAATATGCAGGTGGGTAACTAAAAATTGCAGTAATTTGCTGCCTGTTTTGTAGCAAACAACCGACCTCCGGAGGTCAGAATTTCAAAAATACAAAAATAAAAATACCGACCTCCGGAGGTCGGAATTTCAACATTACAAAAATAAAAATACCGACCTCCGGAGGTCGGAATTTCAACATTACAAAAATAAAAATACCGACCTCCGGAGGTCGGAATTTCAACATTACAAAAATAAAAATACCGACCTCCGGAGGTCGGAATTTCAACATTACAAAAATAAAAATACCGACCTCCGGAGGTCGGAATAAAAATAAAAATACCGACCTCCTGAGGTCGGAATTTCAACATTACAAAAATAAAAATACCGACCTCCTGAGGTCGGAATTTCAACATTACAAAAATAAAAATACCGACCTCCTGAGGTCATAATCTCAAAAATAAGAATACCAACATCCGGAGGTCAGAATCTCAAAAATACAAAAATAAAAATATCGACATCCAGAGGTCGGAATTTAAAAATTAAGAAGTCACAAATACCGACATTCGGATGTCGGTATTCCATGAGAAATAAATATTCTGACCTCAGGAAGTCGGAAATAATAATATATAAAACTGAACTCAAGAAGTCGGAAAATAAAATAATGAATTTTCCGACATAAAATAAAAACTGACCTCGAGAGGTCAGTAAATACCGACCTACAGAGGTCGGTATTGAATAGCGACCAAGCTTTTTTCCGATCTAAGCTGGGATGTCGGTTTTAGATCGGTATTTCAGGGAATATCGACCTCCGGAGGTCGGTATTTGTAGGTCGGTATTCACTGTTTTTTTAGTAGTGTTTGTTTTAGCATTGTTTTTGGGCTAAACCAATTTTGGCTTGGTCTTTTACTTGTTTGTACAAACTTGATTAATTCGAAATAAAGGAGCTCGAGCTCAGATATTTAGTTTTTTTTTAAATCTTATAACATGTACAAACAAGTAAAAGACCAAGCAAAAATTGGTTTAGCCCTAAAACAACGCTAAAACGAAAATCCCAGCCCACTAAGTGAGGCTATCAACTTCTCTAACATGTTTCTTTAAAAGTAGGGTTTCCAATTTGAGCTCCTTATCTTTCTCTCCATGTCGCCACAAGGAGCCTTGTGGAATCTAACCTTCCTCTTCCACTCTCTTTAGGTCATCAACACCTTCCTCTTGTTTGCCACATCTTTTTCTTAGCTACTAAAGGTAGGTTTTCAGTTTATTCTTTTCAATTTTCTAATTTTCCTTTTCTCCTTGTAGAGACATTATCCGATGGATCAATGGTTACATGAACTGATTTCAATAGAGGTGCCTCGTCTTGTGGTGGGCTCGCAACTCTCAGTAAGTCTCCTACCTTTTCCTCTTTCTTCCTTCCCCCTTTTCTTCCTCTCTGACTCTCTATTTCCAGCTGAAGTAGCAGTGTAGTAACTTCTATGATATAGAGAGTCGATTCTTCCAAATTAGTTAGGTTATTCCTCTTCTATATGATTGGGAAAGTTTTCAATTATTCTCTTACTTAGATTTCTAATGATTCAATATAATGCTCATTTAAGTATCGCAAACTATGGGTAAAGAAAGAAGCAGTTGAATTCATTGTTGTTGAATAAAGAAAAGACAAAGGATATTTGGAGGAAAGCTAAGGAATAACTAGTTATGCTTTTAAATTTTTTATTTAGAAGACATTTTTACTAAAGTTATGATCATATTAAGGCTAACATTGAAACATTATTGACTGACGTTGTAGTCCTGGCATGACTATACTTTAGACATATAGTAATTATACATCAAATATTTAATTACTTGTCAAGGTCAACTTTCATACATATTTTACTAGATTTGTGACATTGCCAAAGCCAGAAGATTAGGCATATAATAGCTTCATATCTGGTGTGAAATCGGACATATACATGACATACAAAATTACAAATGATTTGCATAAATAAGACTTTTTGATGTCATAGTTTAAAGTTGGCTTCATATTTCAGGCTTTATACTGTTTTCTCAATGAGATCTCTACTATATTCTTCCTCATATCCTTGGGAGAAGATACTTTGTTCATAACCTAGCCTAACCCCAAGGAAAGATAAGTTAGACCTTCGTACTCTTAAATGTGTCTTTCTTGGTTACTCTAGAGTTCAAAAAGGGTAATGTTTCTATTTACCATATCTGCGTCGATACCTTATGTAGGCCGATGTCACATTCTTTGAATCACAACCTTATTATACATCTTGTAATCATCTTGATGTATCTGAGGTCTTACTCCTACCTCTCAGGTCTTACATGTACCAACTTTTGAGGAACCTACAGTTACTTGTACATCTCTACTTGTAGTGCCATCACTCTTGGCTTATCATCGCCATCCGCATCTAGCACCATTCTCCGGTGAATTATGCCATGCGTCAAACAATGTTGCTACTACGGACTTGCCTCCTCCTAGCCAACCGATTGCATTTCAAAAAGGTATACAATCCACTCGAAATACTAACCCATATTATACTTACTTGAATTATCATCATTTATCATCACCCCACTATGCCTTTGTATCATTTGTCCTCTATTATTATCCCTAAGACTATGGGTGAAATACTTTCTCATTTTTAAGGGAGGTACACTATGATTGATTCCATGTATGCTTTACATACGTGTGGTACTTGAGAGCTAGTCTCACTTCCTGTAGGTAAATCTAATGTTGGTTGTCGTTGAATTTATGCAGTCAAAAATGGTTTAGTTAGTTAGGTTTATAAGGCTCACCTTGTTGCCAAAGGGTATACTCAGTGTAATACCCAATTTTAACTCGAGGTTCAAACAGTGTACAACATATAGTGATTCTTAATGTTATTTTAAAGAGTCGCCACCTAATTATGTGAAAAGTAAATTATGATACCTATTTTACTAAGGTTATGTAATATTAACTCTACATTAAGGTCTACCTAACCTTATACGATTCTAGGTAAGGGTTCTAATTTATCCTAAAGGGAGACATCCTTTAAGATCCGTAAAACACAGTTAACCGGTCAAACTGAGGTTAATTAATTAAACTAAAAAATAATGCTAAAGAATTTGCAAAAAAACCATGAGTGGAAAACATTTTAACATTTGAAAAACTATTTTATATTTGGATAGAATTGACTTGCATTTTTCTTTTTTGAAAACAATAGATAATCACTTGTTTAAAACGACAATTATTTGTACAAAATTTGGTACGAAAATGCATACTAAAACAAAGGTTTCAGTATATGAAGTTAATTCGCATGTCTTAAAATTTGTTTGCACCTTGAAACACATTCTACATTTGAAAATTGATTGAAATAGAATGACAAAAACTTGAAAAGAAGAAAATAAAAAGTCATTTGCTTAAAAAAAAATTATTAGTCTCTAAAGTCATGGCTATAAAAACACAATACAAAATCTAATTTATGACCCCAAAAAAACGCTTCTTTAAAAAAAATCAAATTGAGCTTAAATAAATGCTAGATTTCTTTCAAAAAAGGAAAAGCTCACATATGATAGATAGTTTATCGATAATTAGGTTGTGGGTAACTAAGTAATTAGATTTAAACGTGATCAGTTTTCCTATGTCGACTATCTCGAATGAAAAAAAAAACTAAAAACACATCTAAATCACATAAGTAAGTTCATCATGTTAAGAAAAATCAATAAAAACAAATAAATGCTAAAGATATAAATAGATATAGGCGACTCCAAGTGAGTTTCACTCGTTTAGCTGGCTATTCCGGATAGTCAAAGATATAGACTCCATATGCGGGTATTATGGTAGCGAGTCCATGAGACTGTATTTTGGCCAGAGTCCTCAATTCGGACTCCATTTTTGCTCCAAAGTTCATGCAAGTAAAGAGATGGTAAAGAGATTAGTAAGACAATTCAACTTTAATCGATATTGAATAAGTCAAGAATAGAGCCAAATAAAGTCACGCCACAAAATACATTCCGAGATACAAATTAAACTGCAAGGATCAGACAAGATACATGACGATTTTTGAACCAAACTCGAAGCAGCCAAGTATGAAGCAACCATACGTGCCTTATAGACACAACATTAAATTCCAACTTCAACAGATTTGAACTATAAAGAAAACTTACTTCTCACACCATGATCCTTTAACATTAACTTTTTTTTACATAGCCAAATATTAAATATTCAGGATGAAAAGGAACAAACTCATACATACATTTCTACTAACAGAGAATAGAACGGAGGCTGCTAACAGCGGAACAAAAGAGACTTAAACTCAAATTTATATACATCGAGATAAAGCGCGATCATGGCAAGCATATAATTTGAAGTTGGAAGAGAATTTTGGAAAATGTTTCCCTTAAGTTTTGAAGGAAAGTTATGTTCCTTACATTTGAGGAAAATGAGTTGATTTGGAAAACATTTTCCGAAAAATATTTTTCTTCATTCCAAACACATCCTAAGTCATTCCTTAATTTCAAGATGGCTAAAACACGAAAGAAATATGACTTCATATTCCTAAAAAGATTAAACCGAACAAAAATACATCACTTCATTATAGCTAGAACAAGCAAAATCTTTCTCGACACCAAATTAGAGGAAAAGAGGCGAAATCACCTGCTATAGGGCAGTGAACGGGGCTGCTTCGATCAAAGTCTATATTCGAACAATAACAAACTCGAACAAGCTTGAAGCTAGAGTTTCTGTCAAAATTGAAAGAGGATACAAAAGATAATTTTTGAGAGCAGAAAGCAATGGTTCAAGGTGCTATAGGGGTGAGGCGGGGGGAGAAAAACTTCTTTTCTTAAAAATAAATACAAAGGCTGCTATAGAGATCCCAAAAAAACTTCCGAAACTCGAATGCAAAATGTTGGTATTTATAGGAATGAATTAGGGTTCTTGGCTCAAGTTTTAGCGGGATTTCAAGAATCAAATTGTTCGTAATTCAAAATCCATCTCTGAACTTACTCTGTCTAAATCACAGAGTCTCTTGGCATCTTATGTTGGTCAAATCACCACGGAGAGGGAGAATGGAGAAGAGCTAAAAACGTGTTCAAGGTTTGCACGAAAATAGGACAAGTGAATCTGTCAATGGCTAAAAAGAAAAAAGACCAGAAAAAACGAAGGGGATGAGGCAACAACTATTTTGATTTAGAAGATAGGTTTAGGGTTTCTATTTTAACTGCAGATTTGGATTTGGGCTGCACATATGGCTTCTGGGCACAATTTGGGGCTATTTGCCTTTCTTCTTTTAAATTATGTTGGGCTTCTTACTTAATACTCCCTTTGTCCCAATTTATGTGGCACTTTTCATTTTTTTAGAGTCAAACAGTTTAAGTTTAATCGAGAATTTGTGGATGGAATCTTCAATTTTTTTCAAATGCAATTTATATAATTGTAAACTACGTAAAAAGTACTATAAGTCATAATAATTGATAATTCAAAATAATTAAAAGATTTATGAAAAAATTACGATCAAAGATAGACTTGTTTGAATCTTGAAATCCGAAAAGTGCCACATAAAATGGGACGGAAGGAATAACTGATACAATATATGTTAAAAAATGACAACTAATAATTTACATAATAAAAATATCAATATTACAAATTTACGTTAATATAAAATAGAAAAATATAAAAGAAGGATTTATAATTAGTTTAATAAGTACGAAACTTGAAATAAAGAGACAACAAATTATTTTCTTAAGAAAAGAAGGTGTAAAAAGTGATAATAGTAGTTTCGATAATAAAACATATAATTTTAGTAGATAAATAGTTGTAGTAGTAAAATAGTTGTGAAAAAGGAATATTTGACACGTTATTAATTTAGAAGCTCAAAAACAATAAATTAAAAGAAAGAAGGGTCAAAATTCGGTGTCAACAACTTGTCCCTCTTTAACCAGAGACGATGTAAGAGTTTTTGGGCAAAGAAGTTGACGTTGTAGCCAATTTTGTCCTGACCAATAAATACGACCTAGGGAGAATATGAGAAAATATGAGCATTGGATAACTAATGAGGTATAGAATTTTGTAAACAAGGTAGTCGTGAGCTTACAAAAATTGCTCCAATATTGAATTATGATGTTATTGGATATTGTGATCGAGCAGAGTATTCGAGATTGGAGTCGAGCAGTGTTCAAGGTAGACCTTTGACCTTTGTTGGAAAGCTAAACTTTCACAACAAATTACCCAGTTCACTGCTTAGATAAAGTTCCACGTTGCATTGTGTCTCTTGTTGCTGCATGTAAAATGTGCTTTCTGCCAAATCTTGATAAAATTGTTAGGAAATAATATAAAGCTAAAATTATAAATAAATATCTTATGATAAATATCATACAAGAGTTTATGTATACTACAACGCCGAGCAATGGATATTTCGTCGCTAATTTCATCGCTATATTGTAATTAATTATATCGCCATCCTTTTGTTGCTAATTTTGTAGGTAAATTTATGGTGCGTAAAATTGGCGCTAATTTTTTGCAACGAAGTTCATATTTCGTCTCTAGGCCGTCACTATATATGGTGTTAATTGATAACGTTCAAATATAATTCTTGAAAAGAAATATAAACGATCGTATGCAATAATTTACCCAACTATGAGTCAGGGTCGATCTCACAGAGAATATGGAAAAATATTGTCAATAGCAAATATTTAACTCGATAGTCGTTATATAACAATGGGGGATTTAATTTGGAATAAAATAAAAAACAATAAAAAGATAGCTTTGAACTAAGTATTTATTTATATTCAGATTATGAAATAACTAGGAATGTGTTCCCCATAAGCTCATAACGCAGT